AGAAATGTCATACATGATCTTCAGCCAGTTGATTTAAAAAAAAGCATATGAACAAAATTTAATAGGCATTACACAATACCAAAAAAACCATTCGAAAAATTTCATATCCGTACATAAACGTTTTCGACAATACTACGAACGATACTGATAGTTTATAAGAAAATTCTACTTATGCACTATTTAATCTTTAAATAAAAATCATGAAAAACGATTTTTCTTAAAACTTTTTACTCTAAAAACAGTAAATAATGCAGCTGCATACAATACGTATTTCATTAATACAATAATGATGCATTTATAAGTACCTACTCGTCAGAATTTAAAACTTTTCAGCACTTCTTATCGAAGAAATAATCTAATAATATCAAATAAATTTAAGCGCGATTTATTTTGTCTTATTCGAAATTCAGAATAACCAATTTATCATGTCCATTATTAAACAAATTATAACATGTCTTTTTCCCAACAAAATTCTTAATCATCACATATCTGATTTAATCAATAATTTACCAGAGTCAAGCATGGAAAAAAATTACATCTTTGTCAGTATAGAGAAAGAAAATAATACTCGAAAATTCATCTATTTTGCAATAGAAGAACTAATAAAACTTTATGAACATTCTCCATCAATTGAACGAACACTTTATCAAATAATACTTCCAACAAAGCTAGTTAAAACATATATTGACTTCGAATATTACACAGATAACAATCATGATATAGAAAATCAACACATTGGAGCTACTTGCTGTCTCAAAATACTCCATTATGTGTTGAATTTTTTTGATAGTGCCCACTATGAAAACAACAATTGTCTTGATACTGCGTTACAGCAATTTCTAATTTTAGAGGCGTAAGTTTCAAAAGTTTCAACAGTGTTTTCCAAAGATTCTAAATCTATCTCAGCCTTCATTTAATTGATATTAAAATGAAAAAAAAATGACGCAAATTCGATACATATATAGGCATATATATCGAAGACTCGTTTAGCTTTTAAAACTTTAACGATTGTCCTAAGTTTCTAAATATTTAACGCCTAATAATTCATTAAAATGAATGACTAGCTTATTATTCTTTTCTCCTAGATCAACTTCTCAAAAAATTTCATATCATTTTATTCATGCCGATCCTACCGTGCTGTTTGAAAATAACATGATTCTAGGTATTTTCATTAAAGCTCTAATACATTTCCTCTTATTATCTAGTGTTCAACACAAATGTTTATTTTTTAATATTGAATTCAACCAACAAAGATCTAATATATCTGATTTAATTACATTGTTAGCACATCATATTACTATTTTGCGTGCACACTGTTCTAAATGTTATCCGACTATGCTTTATATTAATGTAGCAGAAATTGCACATCTTTTAGTATTGAACAAACAAAACTAATGGTCTTTAGCAATTGATTTAAATGTTTATTATAAAAATCAACAATTTCGCTTTTTTGATTATACCAAAAGAAGAAGAAATAATTCGCTACTTCAATCCAGTCATTTTCCATTTCATCAAAATCTTAAAGTTTCATATTTTGAAACATTAAAAAAATCAATTGTGACTTATAATACTGAATTATTACATTTGCCAATACTTTATCTGGACAAAAATGATATGAAATTTAAAATAAAGAATGCTAAAACTCTAATAACATTTGAACATTACTCTAAGACATTAGATTCAATCAATTATCATCTTAAGTGCTATTTCATACTCAATAAAAGCATTGTATTTACTTCGAAAACAAACGAAACAGATTCTCTAGCTAGCGAAAATAATTATGTTGATCTTTCAGCACCTGAAATAAAACAATTTACACAATTTGTTCAAAAAATCATAACAGCTAATAAAAATCATAAAGGCTTCATTAGATCATGTGTTCGTGGTAATTACAATAACGATTTACTATTTTTCAATACCGGAGGAAATTATTGATTTTTCACACGAAAAGATACACATCATCAAAGCAATACAACATCAATATTAATCAACAAAAGAAAATTGACATATGCGATTTGTTCTAAAGATCCTCAATGTAATAATACAAATTTAGTTTGAAATAGACTATCATAAATATCTATTGACCTCCTCCGAAAACTTTATGAATACAATTAACCATAATAATTGAGTAGTTTTGTCTTGATAAGAGAATGAAAATAAAAATAAGAATAGTCTTTTTTTCGCCCCTTGCTCAAAAATAAAAGTAACCTTATATTGATCACTAGAGCTCATTTTTACTATGATCAATATTTATTTACTGAGTGATTTGCTTTAAAAAAGGTAATTCTAGCGAAAAAAATGGATAGAAAACTTGCTAAATATATACTATCATCATTATCAGTCTGGTTTAATTATTCTATTTTAAATGACTAAAGCAATTGGATTCACGAGCTTCATATGTTGAAAACTACATTAAATATATATGTTATTTTTCTTCTAATAAAATATTTTTGAAAATGAATTTTATTAATCTTATTAAAGTAATGATGAGGTTGTTTTTTAGGATATGTTTGTTTATGTTCATCTACTTAATCTGTTTAATTAAAATATGGATGGTCTATTATGAAACAATAGAGTCAAAAATGTGTTGTTTACGTTTAACTTATTCCATACATAATTTTCTAAAATTACATCTAAACTCGAAATAATGGAGGCGAAGACATACTAGGTCTGTAAAGCTAGCGTAATTTTACAGAATTGAGTGTTTTGTGCATGTGTGCCAGCTGATGGTTTACTAAGTGAGTCTATTTGTCATTGTACATTTGTATCTCATCGAAAAACGCTTAATAGCAAAGTAAATTTTACAAAAAAAACATTACTAAAACTCAAGCACAAAACAACTGAAATATGGTTCTCTGTAACCATCCGTACAAAATACTTAACAAATTTTCAAATTAAGATAACAAAAATAAATCCTTATCCTATTTGAATTTTGGAACAATCTTAAATCAAACAAGTGAATTTTAAAACAAAACTAAGCATACTAAAGAATTTCAAGCAATTCAAAAGGTTAGAAAAATGACAACATCATTCCTTGAATTGTCATAGTAAACTTCCTCATCACATTACCCAAAGCCATCCCTTTTTTATGAGGAACTTTTAATCATATGTTCTAATAATGAGAGAATATTTCTTAAGACGAAATCAGAATTATCTTCGAAGTCAGGTTTGTTCAAAAAACTGATTATGTGCTGTTCAGATAAAAGAAGTTTGGTTTACAATAATTGTTTTAAATTATTGTTGATAAAGAATAAAAAAATACATTTATTTTGCTCTTTATAAGAATTTTAAGATAAGAAAAAACATTAGTTTACCTGCAATTTAAATTGTTCTACATGAAAAATTCTTCAAACCTTCCGGTTTTCACCAATCTAGAAGTATTTTCAGTGCAGGCCGTCATCAATGTCACTGCTTGAAATCGGCTGTAACTCTGTAATATGTACTTTTTGAAAAACATGTATCTATTGCAAAAAAAAAATACCCGATTTTCAATGGCATAACTATTCTACACTTACTAAACTTAGACGTTCGAACATATAAAATAATAACAATTTCGAATCATCTATGATAGCTTAATAAAACAAAGACTATCTTGAGTATCTTTAAGTTCACAATTTTAGCAACAGAAATTCTATCCATATTAGATAATATATATCAGCTGTACAGTTTTTTCAATAGTAAACATTAAATCTTACGCTACATCGATTATTCTTTAAAATAACTATATATTCCAAAAGATGACTTCCTTAAAGACTTCATTAAATTAACCATTCACGATACTCGTGTATGGAAAGCAGCCAATCGAAATATCTGTGTTGATTCATCATATTACAAAGTATGAAGATTTCACTATTTCAATAAAGGTCAAAACTGCTATGAGAAATTAAAATACGCAGAAAATTTCAATCACTAAAACACTTTAAATAACAATTCAAAATAAAATCGCTACGAAAAGATTAAATAAATGTGGAACAATAAAAGAGCTGAGGAAATTTAGATTATTATGAAAAAAAATCAAATAGCTAGCAAAAGATAAAATAGCTATATAAGATATAAAAAACTATACAATGATTTTAACAAGTATGGAAAAATTATATAGTAAGGAAAACAACTAACTGGCTGTATAAGAATTCAATAGTTATGAAAGAATTAAATAGCTATGATAAAGATTAACTAGCAATGGAAACAATTAAATAGCTGTTCAAAAAGTTAAATAGTTATGATAAAGATTAAGTAGCTATGGAAGAATTAAATAGCTGTACAAAAAATTAAATAGCTATGAAAAGAATTAAATAGCTGTACAACAAATTAAGTAGCTATGCTAAAGATTAAGTAGCTGTTCAAGAAGTTAAATAGCTATGGTAAAAATTAAATAGCTACAGTAGAATTAAATAGCTGTAGAAAAATTAAGTAGCTGTAGAAAGATTAAATAGTCAAATACATTTGTTTAAATAGCTGTCCATTATCAAAAAAGTATCTATTTTGAGAATGAGCCTCACACCCAACACTCACGCATACCCTCTATCGACAGCTGTCCTCATTTCTTTCGCCAAGTCGTAGTTTTGATTGGCGAACGTGTTATCAGTTGGATATACCTGCTCTATATGCGTCAATTTAATGTCGCATATGTGCTGTAGCTCTCAGCAGTTAAAATGATTATCAATCCTTCTTATTTTGCCAAGCGCCAGAATGCTTTCAGTTAAACTCATGTCGTGATCAATATTTCTTGGTTGTTTTTGTCACCTCATAAATGAGGGAATTCATTTCCACTTTTTTGCTTCTTATGTTTCTCTTCACCTCGATGTCGATTGTCCATGTAACCCGAGTGATAATTCAATCACCACAGTGGCATTAGTATTTGTTGCCAATTGTCTTATTTCTTTGCTTCAGATATGATAATGCTCATTTTAGTTCTCTTCCTCGGTATTTGGCCTGTAGTCAATACTAATGACGACTCATTATATTCGTTTGCTTGTTCTAATTCTACTCAGATGTGTAGCATGTACAAAGTCGATATTGATCTATCTATTGGTCGTGCTATATCGAATGAAATCGCTAATTGGCATCAGTTGAATATTATTGATGGATTTGGATCCGTAGCTGGATTTAAAAACAAGAACACGCCGTATATTATTCTGACGACCAGTTGTGATTCCCAAGCAACTCTAATCCATGTCAATGATTTATCTCAGCTACCATTATCGAGAACTATGAAAACACCTTGTACTCAACCGATTCATTCATTAGCAGGCAGATATTTATTAGCATTGGGTACAATTCAAAATGACGTTGGTGGTTCATTTCCAGTATCACTCTATGTGTTTGATGCACTATCAGGACAATGGAATTACGGTGAGATGTTTTTGCCTTTGCTGTTCCTTCAAGTAACGCAAAGATGACCTTTTATAGTTATGTCGTCAGATCAAGCGTATTGGGCTAAATCAAGTCATATGTTGGATAACATTCCCGAAAATCGCAGATCGATCCTCCTTAAAATTATTTCCTAATTTTAACAGAAATACTCAATCTAATATCCACATAACTCTTTTATAGCCTGATTTAGGCATACTTCTTTTGCAGTGTATTTTGTTAGAATATTTGGCTATCATACAGAAACTATTAGTGAAGGGCAATGATCTATCATACATGCTGAAAGCATATTAAATATATAAGAACGTGAACATTTTTATTTGTCTATTATATAGAAATTGTCAATTTTGGTAGCATATTTTCTGGTACATATCAAGTTCTACATCCACAAACAGGTTTTTCAGCTTTGGATTTAAATGCAGTTGAACCAATTCTTCATGTAGTATGTACTTCAATTTTGTTGTATATCTGTTTTTCTCAGTTTCGGTATAATATAGATATTGTACAATTTGGTGAATGACACACGTCACATCTTATCGATTCGTATCGAAAGCGGTCTATGGACATTGAAGGAAATTGCTAATAATTTGTTAAGCAATTTTGCATATTCAACCGAGTTAAATGCCCCTGTAAGTGATTGTTCTATGGGTGGAATATGTGTATTAAATTTCGAGAATTATCGGTGGGACTTATTTTTACCAATTCCAAATTTTACGGATTTTATGGATTGGACATTTTCGGCTGATAAGCAATGTATGTATTTTATTACCAAGCAAAATATAACTGTAATTGATCTATCAAATAAGTTATCTTTTCATTATCGTGTATTACCATTAATTGAACAGAGTGGCAACATTGATGGTATCGATAAAACAGTAGTTTTCAATAAAATTAGCTAGAGGATTTCTGTACAAAGTGTACGGCTGTTTTTTAAATAGTGACCTTTGACTCTTGATGCTTGAGTCTTTAACTAACAGGCTTTATAGTCTTAGCAAGATGCAATGTAAGGTAAAATTATGGCATCGACGGAATTCTCATCGATCTGCTCTTTGGTGTCTGTTCCGGGTAGGTATGCACCAGTGCCAGTTAACTGGGTACCCAGTCGGACTGGGTACCAGTCCGACTGGGTACCCAGTCGGACTGGTACCCCAGTCCGACTGGGTCACCCAGTCCGACTGGTACCCAGTCCGACTGGGGTACCAGTCCGACTGGTACCCAGTCCGACTGGGTGACCCAGTCGGACTGGGTATCTATATAAC